CTGCCTCAGCCTCCCGAGTAGCTGGGACCACAGGCGACCGCCACAACGCCCAGCTATTTTTCGGTTGCAGCCGTCATTGTTGTTTGGCAGGCCTAGGCTGGATTTGAACCCGCCACCTTGGGTGTACGTGGCTGGCGCCTTAGCCACTTGAGCTGCAGGCACCGAGCCTCTATTTTTTAATAATTGTTTTTCTCTCTTTTTTCCTGCAGTTTCTGGCCAGGGCTGGGTTTGAACCCCCCCCACCTCCAGCATATGGGGCTACGGCCCTACCCTTTTGAGCCACAGGTGCCGCCCAATTGTTTTTCTCTTTTATTTTATTTTATTTTTGTGATACAGTTGCACATTGTCGCCCTTGGTAGAGTACCTTGGCATCATAGCTCATAGCGATCTCAAATTCTCGGGCTCAAGCAATTCTCTTGTCTCAGCCTCCCAAGTAGCTGGGACTACAGTCACCCACCACAATGCCTGGCTATTTTTAGAGATGGAGCCTCCTCGCTCTTGGTCAAGCTGATCTCCAACCTGTGAGCTCAGGCAATCCACCCACCTCAGCCTCCCATAGTGCTAGGATTACAGATGTGAGCTACCAGCCTATGTTTTCTATTTTTAGTAAACATGGAAGTCTCCCTCTTCCTCGGGCTGGTCTCCAACTCCTGAGCTCAAGCAATCCTCCCATTTCAGCTTCCCAGAGTGGTAGGATTCTAGGCTCATGAGCCACTGCCCCCACCTAAAATAGCCTTAAGAGTCAATATTGTTGACGTTTGGCTATCCACTATAGTATTTTCAGTTTTGTACTATAAAAATTTTAGATTCAGCTCGGCGCCTGTGGCTCAAGCAGCTAAGGCGCCAGCGACATACACCTAAGCTGGCGGGTTCGAATCCAGCCCGGGCCTGCCAAACAACGATGGCTGCAACCAAAAAAATGGCCAGGCGTTGTGGTGGGCGCCTGTGGTCCCAGCTACTTGGGAGGCTGAGGCAGGCAACTCGCTTGAGCCCAGAACTTGGAGGTTGCTGCGAGCTGTGATGCCATGGCACACTACCCAGGGGGATAAAAAAAAATTTTTTTTTAGATTCTCCATAATAAAAGCTTTAAAAACATAGGGCAATTTGGGTGGTGCCTGTGGCTCAAAGGAGTAGGGCATGGGCCCCATATACCAGAGGTGGTGGGTTCAAACCCAGCCCTGGCCAAAAACTGCAAAAAAGGGGGGGGGCAATTTTAGTGTCCAACCATCTGTTGGTAATAATTAATGAAATAGGTGGGAAAAAATAGGCATCAGCCAAAGGAGCCACACAAGCATCTTTACACGTCTGCTTTAGCAACGTTAGATGGTCCACAGTTTTCATGTAAGTTCCAGGGTTATTTTAGGCTATTCTGAATCTGCGATAAGACTGCACTCCTTGCCATCCTCTCCCCTCCACATAACCGAAGCACAGAGCCAGTAACTAAAATTCCTAAAGCACTACTTATGACAGGGCACTGGAATAAAATGGAAATTGAGCATGCTTGGGACTCCGTCTTAAATTTAACTCTCATTTGTACCAATTTCTAACTGTTAAGTCATCCTCTTCTGTAAAATGAGAGCAATGAAGCCTACCTTACAGTGCAGTCGCTGGAATATATATATTCATAATGAATATATATATAGCCAATACTGCCTTTCTCAAAAGTAAACTCTCAATCTGTTCAGCGCCCTTCCCACTTCTAAAACAAGGGCATGAATGAAAGCTAACGTTCTTTGTCGAAAAGTAAGACATTAACAGTGTTTATCAAAAAAAGAGGGCTGATTAAGTCCTTGTGTCTGGCACAAAGTGGGGAAAATGCCTATCCCTCTGTCACATATTTGACGTGTTTCCTGAACTCGCCCAAACGCTCGCGGCTGCAAGGTCAGGGGCGCGGCCAATTAACCTAGGGCTCACCTGCTGGGCGGTCCCCACCCCGGCCGCGCACGCGCAGTCACTGGCCGGCCACGCCGGCGGCTGTTGTCTGGCCTCAGTGGGCGGGGCAGTTGACAGAGCGGTGAGCTCAGGGTCGAGGGCTCCCGATTGCTCGGTCTTCGCGAGCAAAGGGTGGCGACCGCAGTTGAGCGTGCGAGGGAACCGTTGGTTTTCCAGTTGTTGTCTTCCAGGATCCGTCCGGTAGTTGGAATGGCCCGTGAGTGTGCGCACGGGTGGGGGAAGCGGTACGGAGCATCCAGCCAGGCAGTCTAGAGCTTTCCGAGCCTGGCTCGGGAGCGTGGCGGGCGGGGCAGGTGGGGACTGCTCCTAGCATCCCCTTGGGTCCAGCAGGGCTTAGAGCTCCACTTCCTTCAGCAGAACGAAAAGTCATAGTTGACTCTGACCTGGCCTTCCTCTCAGGCTGGACGGGGTGCCTGCTCCTGGGATGCGAGTTTGCACGATAAACATACCCCCGTAGGTGTGTGGAGACCACCGCTCCGGGAAAGGTCCTGGTTTGGAGGTGGTTTGTAGCTGGTAGCTAGTCTTAAGGCCTACTGAGGACCAGGCTCTCCTGTGTCTTCTCCCAAGTTCATTTGTTTGGCGCTGGCAGTAATAATGGAATTGTGATAGGCTGAACTTGTGGTCTCTGTGTATCTCTTCTTTGCTCCACCCACAGCTCTCAAAAGCCAGAACTAGGAATACTGACTCAGATAGACCATTGGAATGCCTGTTTTAAAATATCTGGTATTTATAGCTAGTAAACACCTAGAGTGGTATGATAATACCCTTAAGTCTTTAAGTGTTTTTATCTTTAAGCTTCTTCCCTGTTAGATCTGGGAACACCGTCAGTGGTGGCTGGCTTATCTATTAAAAATCAAGCTACAGATGTACTTTAAAAAGAGTCCTTTAATGGACTTATTAATAATTTTGGAGATGGGAAAAGAGCATGATTGTTTGTCTTTGTAGGTGGAAATCAACGAGAACTTGCCCGCCAAAAAAATATGAAGAAAACCCAGGAAATTAGCAAGGGGAAAAGAAAAGAGGATAGCTTGACTACCTCTCAAAGAAAGCAGAGGTAAGTGGTAATAAGAGAATTTCAAATCACTAATGTGATTGAACCCACATCTTGGGAAATGGAAAGCATTTTTTTTTTTTTGAGACAGACTCTCACTCTGTCACGCAGGCTAGAGTGCCTGGGCATCATAGCTTACAGCAACCTCAAACTACTGGGCTCAAGGGATACTCTTGCCTCAGCCTCCTTAGTAGCTGGGACTACAGGTGCCTGGCTAGTTTTTCTATTTTTTTAGTAGAGATGGGGGGTCTCACTTTGCTCATGCCAGTCTAGAACTCCTGAGCTCAGGTGATCCAGCCACTCAGCCTCCTCTACTAAGGGCAACAAAGTGAGACTGACTCCAGAAAAAAAAAAAAAAAATCATTTGACATCTTCCACTGGCAATTGTGCTAGTGATACAACATTTTAAAAGCAGATGCTATACCTAAACTAATCTGGACAACAGGTGACTCAGTTATAGTAAGAACAGTTCTGAAGAGTTGGAGAAGATGCACAGCCTTAATATATGACTACATGTGACAATACAGAACTGCTATAGAAACCAATGAGACTGCAGTTAAAGTAAAAAATAAATACATTCAGAGTTCTTTTTTCTTTTTCTTAGAGTCTCACTGTGCCGACCTCTGTAGAGTGCTATGCCATCATAGCTCACAGCAACCTCAAACTCCTGGGCTTAAGTGATTCTCTTGCCTTAGCTTCTCAGTACCTGGGACTATAGGCACCTGCCACAACTGCCCCTTCCCCCGCTATTTTTTTGTTGTTGCAGTTGGCCCTGGCTGTGTTCAAACCCAACAACCTTGGTGTATGTGGCTGGCACCATTGCCACTGTGCTACTACATTCACATTTCTAAAAAAGCTTTTAAAAGATTAATTTTACTTTAAAATGATATTTTGTTGTGCATATGAGCTTGGAAGTTAGGTAAATAACTGACTGCACATAATTCAGTGTGGCTTAGCGGGGGTTCTCAGTATTGGTTTCACATTAGGATTATATAAAACACCTTCACACATTGTTTTCAACCTTTTCTATCTCATGGCACACTTGAACCTATAGTTAAACTTCCACAGCACACTTAAATTGTTGATCAAAACAGTAAAAAAAAGGACATACTTACTGTGCTTTGAATTTCTTTCAAAAATAATTTAATTAATGATCTTTAAAGATTTTCTCTAAACACCTAAGATCCGCTCATGGCACACCAATGTGCTGATGCACACAGGTTGACAATCTCTACCTACACCCAGTTCTGATATTTTGGTTTGTTGGTGGGTGGGGTTAATATTTTAAATTTATAAAAATTTAATTTAAATTTATAGGCTCGGCGCCTATAGCTCAACCGGCTAAGGCGCCAGCCACGTACACCTAAGGTGGCGGGTTCGAATCCCCAGCCCGGACCTGCCAAACAACAATGATGGCTGCAACCAAAAAATAGCCGGGCGTTGTGGCGGGGGGCTGTGGTCCCAGCTACTTGGGAGGCGGAGGCAGGAGACTCGCTTGAGCCCAGGAGTTGGAGGTTGCTATGAGCTGTAATGCCACGGCACTCTACCCAGGGGGACAGCTTGAGGCTCTGTCCAAAAAAAAAATAAATAAATAAATAAATAAATAAATTTATATATAATAGTTGTATATATTTGGGGGGTGTCTGTGATGTTTTTATACCTATATACAATGTGCAGTGATCAAATTAGGGTAATTGCAATGTCTATCACCTCAAACATTGATCTTTCACCCAATTCTGCTTTAATTGGTCTGGAATTGGGTATTACAAAAACATCCTATGTAAATCTTTTTTTTGAGACAGAGTCTCACTATGTTGCCCTTGGTAGAGTGCCATGGCGTCACAGGTCACAGCAACCTCAAACTCCTGGGCCCAAGCAATTCTCTTGCCCTAGCCTCCCAAGTAGCTAGGACCACAGGTGCCTGCCACAACACCTGGCTATTTTTTCATCGTAGTTGTCATTGTTGTTTGACAGGCCTGGGCTGGATTCAAAGCCACCATCTCCAGTGTATGTGGCTGGCACCCTAGTTGCTGAGCTACAGGCACTGCGTCAATGTTTAGACACTCTTAAGAATCACTGGTTAAGGAGGTTAAAACCATTAAATATCACATCATACTTTCTTTCAATGACATTTATTATTAAACTGATGATCTTGGCTCTGCGCTCATAGCTCAAGCAGCTAAGGTGCCAGCCACATACACCAGAGCTGGAAGGTTCGAATCCAGCCCAGGCCTGCCAAACAACGACAACTACAACCAAAAAAAAAAATAGCTGGGCATTGTGGCAGGCACCTGTGGTCCCAGCTACTTGGGAGGCTGAGGCAAGACAGTTACTTGAGCCCAGGAGTTGGAGGCTGCTGTGAGCTGTGATGCCACAACACTCTTCCCAGGGCAACAGCCTGAGGCTCTGTCTCAAAAAAATAAAAATAAAAAATTAAATAAATAAACTGATGATCTTTGCTTTAAATTTCTGTTTACTCACGCTGAAGTGCAAGTGAACATGGTAGGCATCAGTAACTCTTGAAAAGCATTTTTAGAACCTCTTATAGCTTGAAATACCAATACTTCAGAAATACCCAGTGAATACTTGAAATACCAAATACTTCAGAAATACCCAGTGTTCCTTATGAAGCTTTGTGATGGATGGTCTATGTGTATTATCTCTATTCATCGTAGCCTTGAAAAGTGGTATTAGCACAAATGTGTAGAATAGGAAACTGAGATTCCAAATTTTAATAACATTACTAAGGTCATACAGCAAAGCACAGCAGAACTTTGTTTGAAATAGAAAAATAACTATCACTGTTCTTTTCCATTCCATTTCATTTCTTTGTAGCTATGTTCCCCCCTCCTTATATTCCTTTGTTTTGCTATTAGCTTTGCAGAATTATGTGTCATGCACAGAGCCATTTAGTCCTGAATAAAGATCTAATGCTAAATCTATACAATAACAAAGTAGGAAAGAGGCTGGACTTTGAAATTTGGTAGGAATTTGTTTTGATGTGGTTTGCAGCAAACTATTTAATGCCAAGCCTTTTTTTTTTCTTTGAGAAATAGTCTCACTTTGTCAACCTTTGTAGAGTGCTTGTGGCATCATAGCTCACAGCAACCTCAAACTTTTGGGCTTCAGCAATCTTCTTGCCTTAGTTTTTCATTTTTAGTAGAGATGGGGTCTCATTCTTACTCAGGTTGGTCTCAAACTCTTTTTTTTTTTTTGAGACAGAGCCTCAAGCTGTCCCCCTGGGTAGAGTGATGTGGCATCACAGCTCACAGCAACCTCCAGTTCCTGGGCTCAAGTGAGTCTTCTGCCTCTGCCTCCCAAGTAGCTGGGACCACAGGTGCCCACCGCAATGCCCGGCTATTTTTTGGTTGCAGCCGTCATTGTTATTTGGCAGGCCGGGCCACTTGAGCCACAGGTGCCGAGCCCAAACTCTTGAACTCAAGCAATCTACCCACCTTGGCCTCCCAGAGTGCTACACGTGAGCAACTGTACCTGACTGCAAGCCTTTTTTTAACCTTTGTCTGGGAAGGACACCTATAGGCATGTTTTATTTCTGAGTGCTCTGCAGTCAAGAGGTTAAAAAAAAAAGAAAGAAAGAAACATGGGGATAATAACACAAAAGTTGGGAGACTTTAGCTAGAGCCAATAGCGCTTGGCACATAGTAGGTGTTGAAAATATAGCGAGTTAGCATATTTTTAAAATAGGAATTCCTGTTGACCCATAAATCACCTAATCCAGATAATCTAGTCATAGTTCATAACTAATATGGTTTGTTGAGGTTCAACCAGCAACTCAGAGGCTTAAAAAAGTAGCCTGAATATCCTACTTCTTTTTAATTTAATCCAATTTAACCACTAGCTATTGGGCTTTTGTCATTGTGAGAAACTGTATTATTTCATAACATTTATATCCTGGATATCCCAGTTAGAATACCCAGGAGACTTCTTAAATGCCTTCTTTGAGGAAAAAATTAGGCTGGATTAACATTGTTAAAAACCAAGAGTAGGCCTTGTGCAGTGGCGCATGCCTATCATTCTAGCACTCTGGGTAGCTGAGGGTGGTGGATTGCTTGAGTTCAGGAATTTGAGACCAGCCTGAGCAAGAGCCAGACCCTGTCTCTACTAGAAATAGAAAAACTAGCCACGCATTGTGGAGGGTGCCTGTACTGCCAGCTAGTGGGGAGACTTAGGCAAAAGGATTGCTCTAGCCCAATAATTTGAAGTTGCTGTGAGCTATGAAGCCCCAGCACTCTACCAAGGACAACAGAGTGAGACTATCTCAAAAAATAAGAATACTCTCTCAAAAAAAATTAATAAATTAATTAATATAATATAAAAACTACCATGGTGTTGGTGGTGGGTGCATATAGTCCCAAGTACTTGGGAGGTTGAGGCAGGAAGATTGCTTGAGCCCAAGAGTTTGAGGTTGTTATGAGCTAGTCTAAACCCATAGTGCTCTAGCCTGAGGCAAGAGTGAAGCTGTCTCAAAAAAAAAAAAAAAAAAAAACCAAGTAATTGCCATTATTTCTGCATATAGCTGCATACTGGCAGACACTTTTATTTTTATATACATCCATTCATACCTATTCCTCAGGACAACATTGATAAATATTATTCTGATTTTGAAAGGGCTTTGAGGTGATTTGCCTCAAGGTCATGTTAACAGTAGAGGTAGTATTCAAAATAATTAGATACTATAACATGTATAGTACATAAAAGAAAATTTTAAAACAACAAGAAAAAGACAAAATTAGATATGACTTCAAAACCTTTCTACTTTTGCCTTTCCATTCTGTCTCAATCCGTGAAAATAGAAAGACAGCCAGGTGTGATGCTGCACACTTGTAGTCCCAGTTACTTGGGAGGCTAAGGCAGGAGAATTGCTTGAGCCCAGGAGTCCATGGCTACAGTGAGGTATGGTCATGAGATTGCACTCCAGCCTGGGTGACAGAGGAAGACCCTGTCTCTAAAATTTAAAAAAAGAGAGATAAAGAGAATGGAAAGACAAGGATTTTTATGTTATCATCTTTGAAATTGTCTTCTAACATAATTAAATGGTAACCCATTTAAAAACAAGTGCGAATGCAAAATCAGTTTTTTTATAACAACCTTTTCCCCATTATAGGGATTCTGAGATCATGCAACAAAAGCAGAAGGCAGCTAATGAGAAGAAGTCTTTGCAGACAAGAGAAAAATGACTGGCTATTTGGAAAATCAGGTGCTACTGCCAACTGAGTGTATCATAAGGTCTAAGATCAAGATTTTGTAGAATGAATGAACAGTCACTACATATGTTATAACTTATCCTTATAAACTGTCTATTTTAAATTTTGCCTTTCAGCTTGATTTAGTGTGATGTTTTACAACCATTCTTCAAAAAATAAAACACTACCCATATATGTGGCATATTGGTGAACCTTATTTTTTATCTTCAGTGAACATTTATATAACTTCTTATATAGGTAATATGATCAGAAAATCTTTTATATATAAATCTACAATTTTTCTCATCGACTTTGTTAACGAAGATCTTTAAGTTAAATTTTTTTATATAGGCTGAGTACCCGTAGTTCAGTGAGTAGGACACCAGCCACTTACACCTAGGCGCCCCACCCAGGCCTGATAAACAACTATGACAATTACAACAACAACAAAAATAGCCAGGTATTGTGGCAAGCACCTGTAGTCCCAGCTATTTGGGAGGCTGAGCCAAGAGAATCGCTTAAGCCCAAAAGTTGGAAGTTGCTGTGAGCTGTGATGTTATAGCACTCTACTGAGTGCAACATAATGAGACTGTCTCAAAATAAATAAATAAGTAAATAAATTTTATTATATAATAGAATTTAAGATCCATTCATGTAATTTTCCTTTGAAATCAACTTACAAAGTTTGCTTGAAGATAACAATACAAACTATTGTAGTAACAAACTAAATGAGGTCTCATAGTTCTACTTATAGCTTTAAAGTATTTTGGAATGAGTGCTATATTTTAGCCTGTTCTGAGCCTCTTCAAAGATGTGTGACTTGATGATAGTTATAAAATAACAAATACAACTAGAGAAATTAAAGTTTCAGACCTTGTTGTATTCTGACATAAATATGCATAATTATGCAAAAAGAATAAGGATGCCATTGAAGGCTGGGTGCAGTGGCTCACACTTGTAATCCTAGCACTCTGGGAGGCTGAGGCAAGAAGATCGCTTGAACCTAAGAATTTGAGGTTGCTGTGAATCATGATGCTACAGCACTCTACCGAGGGCAACAAAGTAAGATTATGCCTCAAAAAATAAAGGAGGCTTGGCACCTGTAGTTTAGTGGTTAGAGCGCCAAGCCACTTACATTGGGGCTAGTAGGGTTGAACCTGGCCCAGGCCTGCTAAACAATGACAACTGCCACAAAAAAATAGCCAGGTGTCATGGCAGGCACCTGTATTCCCAGCTACTTGGGAGGCTGAGGCAAGAGAATTCCTAAGCCCAAGAGTTAGAGGTTGCTGTGAGCTGTGATGTCACATCACTCTATCAAGGGTGACATAGAGACTGTCTTAAAAAAAAAAAAAAGGGAGGGCAGCACCTTTGGCTCAAAGGAGTAGGGTGCTGGCCCCATATGCCAGAGGTGGTGGGTTCAAACCCACCCTGGCCAAAAACTGCAAAAAAAAAAGATACCATTGAAGTCATAAATAACTTTATTCTTTAAATACTGGATTTTCCACATAATACAATTCAACAAATTTTTAGTGATCACCTAACATGTCAACCACTATACGAAGGGACAGATTTTCAAGAGTCCAATTAATACCTCAATGGTACTGCCCATAAATAAGATAGAATCCTAAGTGTCTCTCTAATGTCTCATGGTTGAATGGGACAACCATGAAGTTTTTTCAGCCCAAGTTATTTTTTATGTTTTTCTTTTTTTTTAGAGACAGAGTTTCACTTTGTCACCCTGGGTAGAGTGCTGTGGCGTCACAGCTCACAGCAACCTCCAGCTCTTGGACTTAGGCAATTCTTTTGCCTCAGCCTCCCAAGTAGCGGGGACTACAGGCACCCACCACAATGCCCCACTATTTTTTGTTGCAGTTTGGCCCTGGCCGGGTTTGAACCCACCACCCTCGGTATATGGGGATGGTACCCTACTCAGTACAGGTGCTACCCATTTTGGTTTTAAGAGACAGGGTCTTTCTCTATTGCCCAGGCTGGAATGCAGTGGTACAATCATCATAATTCACTACAGCCTCCAATACCTCAAGGGATCCTCTTACCTCTGCCACCAAGTAATTGGGACTACAGGCAAGTGCCACCATACCTGGCTAGTTTTTCTTATTTTCTATAGAGACAGGATCGTGCTGTGCTACCTAGGATTCTTTGAACTCTTGGCCTCAAGCAATCCTCTTGCTTTACCTCCTAAACTACTAAGATTACAGCTATGAGCCACTGTGCCTGGCCTAGCCTGAGATTTTTATTTTATTTTATTTTATTTTGTTTAGTGTTTTTGTTGAGACAGTACTACTATGTGGTACTGGTGTCACAGCTCGCAGCAACCTCAAACTCTCGGGCTTAAGTGATTCTCTTGCCTCAGCCTCCCAAGTAGCTGGCCACAACACTCACCTATATTTGTTGTTGTTGTTGTAGTTGTTATTGTTGTTTAGTAGGCCCAGGCCAGGTTTGAACACTCCAGCCCAGGTGTATGTGGCCAGCACCCTAACCACTGAGCTATGTGCATGGAGCCTAGCCTTGAGTTTTTAATTTTTATATTAGTCCATATTTTTTAACTTTTTTTTGAGACAGGGCCTCTCTTCATTGCCAAGGCTGATTCTCTGTGACCTCAAACTCCTGGCCTCAAGCAATCTGCCTCACCCAGTCTCCCTGGTAGCCGGGACTACAGGTAGCACCACTGCATCTGGCTCAATTTTCCATTTTTTTGTAGAGACAGAGTCTCAGTATGTTGCCTGTCCTGGTCTCAAGCTTCTGGCCTCAAGTGATCCTCCCACCTTGGCCTTTCAAATTGCTGGGATTACAGACATCTCCACTATGCGTGACCCCAGATTTTCATTAAAGTAAAACATTGTTCTGTTTCTTGGGTTAATTTCAGTCTTCAAAATTTTCTGTAATGGTAATCACAAAGGCAAAAAGATTACAACAGCTTAGGTTACATTGTAATAAAAGGGATAAAGTGCTATTAAAGTTAGTTATAATTGAAAAAAGAGGGGAAATAAAAGATAAAAAAGAAGTCTGGGCTCGGTGCCTAGGCTCAAGCAGCTAAGGCACCAGCCACATATACCTGAACTGGTGGGTTTGAATCCAGGTGGGCTTGCCAAACAATAACAACGGCTGCAACCAAAAAATAGCCGGGCATTGTGGTGAGCCCCTGTAGTCACAGCCACTTGGGAGGTGGAGGCAGGAGAATCACTTGAGCCCAGGAGTTGGAGGTTGCTGGGAGCTATGATGCCACAGCACTCTAAGCTTGAGGCTCTTAGAAAAAAAAGAAGTCTGATCATAACACAAAGATTTTTTGTGGATCTAATTTCTGTAATTTTATATCCAGAATTTGTACAGAGCAATAAGCCATGAGTACAAAACCCATTTATGCTTTTAGCTCTATCTTGCCTTTTTTTTTTTAAGTGAATTAATTTCCATGGTTTAAAATATCCTGTGGAGTAGAAGTTTAGACTTTTTTTTTCACTAGAGACAGGATCTCACTATGACATCCAGGCTGTCATAGCATTACAACCTTGAACTCCTAGCTTCAAGTGATCCTCCTGCTTCACCTTCCCAAATAGCTGGAAATACAGGTACATGTGACCACCCCCATCTAGTTTTTCTTATTTTTTTATAGATATGGCCTTACTATGCTACCCAGGCTGGTCTTGAACTCCTGGCCTCAAGCAGCATTCCTGCCTGGGCCTCCCAAAGTGCTGAGACTATAGGTGTGGTTTACCACATCCTACCAAATGAAAACTTTTAAAAAATTAATCTTATAGGGCGGTACCTATGGCTCAGTGGGCAGGGCACTGGCCAAGGGTGGTGGGTTAAAGCCCAGCCCCAGCCAAACTGCAACAAAAAAATAGCCAGGTGTTGTGGCAGACACCTGTAGTCCCAGCTATAGAGAAAAGCACCCCATGCTCAGACGTGGCAGTTCGCTTCATGTGCTCCTCCACGAGAATGGCTCTGGGAAAGATTTCTTTGAAGATTGAGTTTCTGTGAGCAGCCTATAGATATGCAGAAATACTCTCACATAGAGATCTGAAGAGCTAGACCGGGGTCGCAGCTGGAAGCTGGAACACATGTCCTGGGGCGTTAGGTTCTGTTCTCTGTCTTCTTCCCTCATTAACATTATAATCTCTAGTTTCGGTTAGGGCCAGAGAGAACAGATAGTCTCCTTTGTTTTTACTCTAAAGAAAATCAATTGTATATGTGTTCCTCAGCCTTCACACTGAATTGTAATCTTTTTTTTTTTTTTGAGACAAAGCCTCAAGCTGTCGCCTTGGGTAGAGTGCTATGGCATCACAGCTCACAGCAACCTCCAACTCCTAGGCTCAAGCAAGTCTCCCGTCTCAGCCTCCCAGGTAGCTGGGACCACAGGTGCCCGTCACAACACCCAGCTATTTTTTGGTTGCAGCCATCATTGTTGTTTGGCAGGCCTGGGCTAGATTCGAACCCACCACATTAGGTGTATGTGGCTGGTGCCCTAGCCACGTGAGTCACAGGTGCCAAGCCTGAATTGTAATCTTAATGGTAGATTCCTAAATTTACTTCACTTCTTTTAATCTGTGTTAAATTCTGACTGAATGTTTAAGAGTATATAAGATAATCAGTAAAGTTAGGCCTGGTTGCTGACCTGAGCGAGTCTCAACCTCCTTTCAAATCAATCATCCAGTCTGCAGTTCCTTTTCCTTGCGTCTCCGATCAGATGGCTCCGAGAACACTTTCACCCAGCTACTCAGGAGGCTGAGGCAAGAGAATCGCCTAATCCCAGAAGTTGGAAGTTGCCATGAGCTGTGATGCCATAGCACTCTACCAAGGGTGATAAAGTGAGACTGTCTCAAAAAAAAAAACTTAATCTTATAAATCTAGGGAAAGCTACTGTTTCCATAAACAAAATGGTTATTTGGATAAAAAAGACTCTAGGATATAATTAGTCATTAAAACTTAAATCAAAACCTAGTTGTTGGCTCAGCGCCTGTGGCTCAAGCAGCTAAGGCGCCAGCCACATACACCTAAGGTGACAGGTTCGAATCCCCAGCCCGGGCCTGCCAAACAACAGTGATAGCTGCAACCAAAAAATGGCCAGG